GGGTCCAATCATCAACTAGCAAACTTTGGGATACGAGAGGTTTTTTAGTGCTGGGATAACCATACCCCACACATCCATTTCTAACTAGAGTGCCCTCCAAATTCTAAAGGTGAAGCTTAATAGATTCTTTTATTCTCTTTTTTATCTCCTAAAAGCATGATTTTTGCTCATTTTTCGTTACCTTGTGGAGCAGCAATTCCACTGAATTAAAAAGGTGAGTTTTTTTCATTTCCACTAAAAAAAAAAAAAAAAAAAAAAACAAAACAGCAAGAGTGGATTCATGGAAACTTGGCTGGCTTATTCATCATGGAGAGCGTTGGTGTCATGGGGGTGATCTGGGGTTGGCACTGATGAGAAAACAGGCCTCAACTTTTAGAGCGTTTGGTATTTCATGGCAGCTGTTGTTTAATTCTTACATGTGACATAAAGCTCATATCAAGGAAGAATTAAGCAAAATGTTCTTATTAGCTACAGACTCAACCACAGTTTGCAGAAGTGAAAAGCTCAAGCCAGCTTGTGAACCACACTGACAGTCCTGACACCGAAGTGATGGTAAAAGATAGATCTGCAGTCACAGTAAAAGTTCAACCCCTTTTTCCTTGCCAAGATCACCTTTCCCCACTGAATCCAGAAACACCAAACTGCTGTTCTTCCTTTAAACAGTGACACTTCTATGCCATTAGAGGAGCTGACAGACAGTGTAGGGGGCAGAGTGACACCAGACCCCAGTGCACCCACCCACAGTCAGCACATGCATAAAAGTCACCTGCAAACCTACAGCAATGTCCTCACAAAATTTTATTTAACAAGAAAGTCCCCAGAGAATCCCACTGACAAAGTAGTTGTTCCTGTTCTCCACTGATGATCTGGAAGAAAAATGTAAAACCAAAGGGACTACTTAAGGTACAACCTTCTCCTGGAAGCCTTTCTGCCCCGCTGTAACATTCATTCAGTGCAACAGGAAGATTTTCTCTGCCTTCCAGTAAACTTCAGATCACAATATTTTTGGAATTTCAGTTCTGCATTTTAGAAGTTTCATGGTGGTCATTTGCTATTGATACAATTACAACAGAAATAAATTTAGCACATTTAAGGCCAGAATAGACCCTGATGCCAAGAGGGAGAGCATACAGAAGATATCGTCTGTCTGGCTCAATCCTGGAAATTTTATCATCTATTTCACTTACTCGCTTGATTTTGTTGCGGTTGTTCAAAAGTAGTTTTGAAACATAAAAAAACCCAGCCAAACAAAAAAGATAAAATTTGATTTTTCAGCATTCTCAGACCTATAAAGCAAAGAGAGAGATACCACAAAACTCACAAACAGCTTCATTTGAACAAGGAATTTTGTAGCAGAACAGTATCAATAGATACTTTCACATGCTGGACTGTTCTTCGGCTCAGCTCCATAAGTCCCCTGGACCACACTGCTTTCCACCCCCCAGCTGGGACAGCAAAGTGTGCTTTGTGCCAGCGTGAGCGAGAAAGTGAAAAGGGGATCTTGCTCAACCAACAAACCCCAGTCCTCAGACAATGGGAAACACCTTTACTTGGAAACCTCCCAAAGCCTCTGACAGGTTTGTGCAAGAGACACGGAACGAGTGAGAGAGCTGCCAGGCAGGTCACTGTGGTAGGAATAAAGTCTTGGCAGTGCTTCCAAGAGGACACCCAGAATAATTTGGGTGCTGCTTGCCTGGCCTCTCGCAATTCTGGCAGTGACCTGTCACCTACATTGAATTTAGCAACGAAACGCCAACCCAAAGAAGTGACAGTCCAACCAGTGACTCCCACTGCAGGAAGCTACTGGAACTTTACTTTCCCTGGTCAAAACCAGAAGATTAAGAGGATAAAGCACTCCTTTCGACCCAGAGTTCATAGTGTACGGAAGGGGACGCAGAGCACGGCTCTGCAGGCAAAGCAGGTTCAACCAGCCTTTATAAACCCATCACAGAACTCCCACGTGCTCTGTGCCAGGTTGGTAGCACATCATACCAAGAGCTGAAGGCCTTGTTGTACAAACATCCAAGTGTGGCACCTCTAAAGTGCTGTCTGTAAGAAAAATTAATTAACCCCTCCTCCCCCAAAATGTCTCAGAGTGATGATTAATGGCCCAGTGGTTAATTGAGATCCTGCAGTGCTACCAGAAGCCCCTACCCCACATAGTGCACACTCCAGTGACGTAAGAAGAGGAAAATAAAGAGGAAAATAAAGAGGAAAATAAAGAGGAAAATAAAGAGGAAAATAAAGAGGAAAATAAAGGGTGAATAATAAGGAAAGGCATGATCCTTATGTAAGGTACAGTGTAGTGAAAAATAACCTTACATCACTCCTTCTTAGTAAGGAAGCAGCTGTAAGTCTACATTCACACTAAATACCTGAAATGTTATTGTGGTTGAATGTATCCTCTAACTTGCTCCTTGGAGTAATGCCCTGGGTACCTTCTGGCCAAATATTCCAAACTAAACTTTGCATAAACATTTCAGTGTTTCAGATGAAAAGCACCTGGGCCCACCATGTGAATGTCTCACCACGTTAGGAACCCTGGGTGAGATTCAGCTGAGAGGGGAGTTCCGGAAATCCACACCCACATGCTGTGGCATTCAGGGCCAGGCTGCAAAGAGCATCTTGTTCCTTAAGTGAGCATGTAGTTTACATGGGAAAAGATAAAGATCAGCTCATCCGTGAATCGGAACGTGAACTTACCCTGTGGATACTCCTGGGTCTGAGAAACCCAACAAAAATGCAGTTTAATCTTCCTAACTGCCATTGCAGCCTTTCTGTGCTTGGGTTGTATTTGACTGTGAATTGAGAAGAATCTTCAACAATAGCCACAGAAAATTTTCTTTGCTACCACTTTCTTTTGAGAGTATAGTACACATTCTTCAAAAAGAATAAGCCTTCAGTTTGATTTACAAAGTCCCCTCGCCTGAGCTGGCCAGGCGTCAAGAAGCAGATGTGGTTTGTGAGCTGAAAGTGCTTATAATTAGCCCAGACAGATAGACACACACCTCACACAGCCAAGGAGAGTCTCTCAGCCTTGGTGCCATCCTGGGAAGCACCAGAACTAATATCAGGATTGAGCCCAAGGGGCAGCAGAGGCAGCAGAAAGCACCAGGATGACAGAGGTTTGCAGTCTTGGTCTCTTACTGCCTTTTCCTCCCCTTCTCAGAATTTTCCTGTCCCCTTGATACATTAGAGAGCATATTACGTTAACTCATCAGGATACACTACTACCCTGAAGTTCACCTTTTCTCCTGTTCTTACAGAATCTTCCCTTTCCCAGCTGAACAGAATTGGGATGCCAGCTAGAACCAGATCCCCAGCCCACTGTCCAAGCAGAACGATCCCCAAGCAGGACCAGCATAAAGAGCATTCTAACCCAGCAACCAAGCTCTGCTGCAGGCCCTTTATGGCACAGGGCTCAAGCTGACTAAAAACTTGCATAAGCTTATCACATTTTCAGAGTCTTCCCTTTGGCATTCAGATGTCATCAGTGAAAAAGAATGGAAGTTTAAATATGAACAACATGGGTTGAAAACTATGGAAAGACCAGATAATAAAGGATAGAAAAGGACCTGAAAGCAGAAAAAAAAAAATATCAATGCCTGGAAGTTACTTAAATCATTCTTTCTCATTATTACGTTACAGGAAGAAGAGGATTTGGGGGGTTTTCTCAGTGCTTAGCAATTCGAGTTGGGTTCTTGCCTCAGTAAGTCAATGCAAATCCTGAGGAACACTGTTCACCTCGACAGTTCCCTGCATTTTAGCAAGAGTTCTTGAGAATATGACCAAGTGCAGGCATACACAGTGTCCTCTCAGGTGAGCTGTTACCTCCTGTAGCCACAGGTTCAATTAAACATGCAGAACCGAAATAGCTCTGGAATCAGGCAGTGACTGATAGCCGGGGAAGTGCCGAAAGGAATTATTACATTCCATTCACGTATTAAATACATATTACAAAATCTGTCAGCATTCAAGGAGCGTCTGGGTGACATACTCAGTCACGTGGTTTAGTTTTAGATAGCCCTGTGAGGAGCAGGGAGTGGGACTCGATGATCCTTGTGGCTCCCTTCCAGCTTGAGATATTGTATGACTTGATAAGTGAACAGCACTACCCAAGGCAGGAGTAGTAGGTGATTTCATGGACAAAGGTCAACAAAGAAATTATAAAGGCAATAGGCAGGGATGGCCCATCTCACATCACTAACCTAATAACTTTTACTGGTCAGGAGCAGGAGGCAAAAAGGCTACCAAATATGGCCAAGGCTGAAGGTGGAGGACTGACTGAGCTGGGAGGACTCCCTGAGCTCTGACTCAGGGAATTTCATGTTTTCATGTTCATGTTTATGACCCTAAAGTCACTATTCCATTTTACTGTGTATGAACCAAGATGCTGCTGCCGCCTTCTGATTGGATAATTTACTGTTATTTAGAAATATTCAAAAATTACATTTTCCTACTGTACTGCTTACATTCCTAAGTACTTATTATGTGCCTCCTTCCAGACCTACATGTTGTAGGACCAGGGTGGGAGTGGGTCTAGGTTTGTAGGCACATCCTTTTTGTGAAAACCTCTGCACTTCAGAGAGTGCATCCCACAGAATCTTCTGAACTGACTGTGGGCCATCTCCATCCTCAGTAGCACCGTGAGAACCTGCCTAAGCAAAAGACCTGAGAAATTTGCCAACCAACAAGTCAAGGGTGTTTTACTTTTTAAAACTTCCCAGAATGGTATGAAACCCCATGGATGTCGTGGGGAAACATTCAAATCTTACAACAAATCTTACAACTGTGGTATCTGCTCTCTCTCACCTCTGTCATGACCCACACACAGCTACTTCTTGACCTCTAATACAGTCCAGTTTGAAGGACAGGTGGGTCTAAAGCCACATATCCTGTCAAATAGATCCAAAATTCCTTGGAAACAGAATCATCTCTATTCAGTATGTGCCAAGTCAAGCACCAAACTGTGGTTTCGATCTCGGACTGACTGCTGCCTTTGGGCAAAGGCAGGCCAGGATTCTCTGGCTGTTCCTTTAAGGGAACGTGGATGCTGAAAGAAAGCCAACTGGAGGCGATTTCGAAGGAGGTGTCAGAGCAAGCTGAAGTACCAGAAAAACAGGAAAAGCACAAAACCCAAACAGAATCCAGTAGCTGCAATACACACAGTCCGGCCAGAAGAAAGACTGGTAACACTAAAAGGAGACTTTTCCCCTGGAAGTAAGAAAGGAAGAGCTCCAGCAGGCAAGGTATGGTTATATATGAGCGTGGGAAATCAGAAATCCTCCAGTGACAAGGGAAAGTGGGAGGGAAGAAGAGAGCTGTGTGGTGGGGAACTGGCAGGCTGGGTCAGGCTGTGTGGTAGAAGAGCTGACAGCTCTGGCACCAAGAATTGCAGGAGGAAACAGAGGACTGTTTTGCTGCAGAATGACACCAGGGCATCCTACCATATCTTGGGAAGTTAAGAAAAGCCTAGATTTATACACTACAAAGTGACCATATGGGGTGACTCAATGGCAGCAAGTTGGATCCTTCCCCCTAATGCACCAAGGCACAGCTCTTGCTGTCAGAGGTTTGAGGTTGGGAATGCAGAAAGGAGTGGGGGCTGCACTGATGGCTGAGGTGTGAGGGGAACACACACCCCTCAGCCCACTGCCTTTCCCAGCTCAGCACCACTGGCAGGTTTTTTTTCTGCACAGCTGCTTCAGTCAAGTGGGAAACTTCTCATCTGACTTCTCTGCCAGCCTAACACAGGCACCTCAGAGAGTAAAACCACCAACCAGAGGTACGTGCCCAGCCAAAAGCCCCAAACAGTGCATGTGCTGGGGCTGGAGGGATGCAGAGACCAGGGCACACCTGAAGTTCTTCTGTGTATGGTTATACTAACCATAAATTAGTAATTAAGCACAGCCCTGTCACCAGTGGGCAGCAGCAGAGGGGCAGCACACAGCACCCTGCAAGCCCTGGCAGACAGCAGCTTGCCCCACTAACCTCCCAAGGTGGGGGACATTCTGAAAGGATCCATGAGAACTTCTGCCCCTGTGTCACACAGCCTGCTGTGAGGAGAGCAAATGGAACAGAAAATCTGGGCTGGGAAGGGAAAAGCATGACCTGGCTGAGTCCCAGAGCTAACTTGCACAAATGTCCCCTATTACCATGCTGGAGATGCTCTTCACCCCACTCTTCTTGATGTCCTTCTCGAAATTTCAGGGCACCACATGAAGTGTTCACATGGAACTACGACGCTGTAGGGCTTTAATGAGTCCTGTGAAAGAAGAGCAAGGGGATGTTACAGTGACTAAATGAGTGTTGTTATCCCGGGCAGGGCCGAAACAAGTCCTGCCAAAGCCACGTGTGCAGCAGGCTGATATTACAACAACTGGGGAGGGAGGAGGAGTGAAAACGCTTCCTTCCCTGAGCACTCGGAGTGTCTCGCATTCCTCCCGTACTCGTTTTCCTTTTGCTAGGGTCGCCTTGCCCTCTAGTGGTTCACACCACAGAGCTGAGCTCGTTTCTGCTGTGAGTCCTCTAATGTCGATGCTTTCAGCCGTTGCACAGCAAAGGAAATAATTCCAACTCCCTCTGATCTGCACCCACCTCTCAGTGCATCAGGCCGTTGGTAAAATGTGCTGTCATGTGTGAAGTTAGAAAAGATAATGCCTGCTGCCTTATGTATTATATATATACATATCACATCCTATAAGAAAGGATCCTCTGTCCATCTAGTCTGGAGAGATTTACTCATCAGGACATGAATATTTTTGACTGAATAGGTCTTTCTTCAGCTTTTACAAAAAAAAAAGAAAAAAAAAAAAGGAGGAAAAACAGTACTTAATTTTTAAGATTAAAACTTTTGCCTAAGGGAGGGAAGTAGATAAAAATCAAAAGCAGAGTGGTGGAAATCCCGTCTGCTAATTAGCAACCTCCAAAGGGCTTCAAAAGACAAACTGGATGCATTTAGATTCCTGACATTGCCTATACCAACAGGAATATGGACTATAACTTACTGTCTGTTTCCTTTGCATGCCCCCATTACACCCATTTTGACTTCTCTTTGGGCTCTGTCCAGCAGAGTTGCGAATTTGAATCTATTCCATCATCTCACCTAGAGACAAGACAAAAAATATTTGCTTAATTTCATTTTTGTACAGACTATTATCTTCTGTGACCAGTTTTCTAGACAGAAACTACAATGTCTTTATCCAAACTTGACTCCTGATGCAGTTAATTCCAGATTGTCAATTAATGACTCTCTGGCTTGACATGCTTTGTGTGTTTATTAGCTAATCCCATCTGCTGGGCTCCAGAGTTACCAGCTCTCCACAGCAGGAAAGACATGCACATCTAGGAGCTGAAGGACAAAAAGCAGCAACTGTGAACTAGTTACTTGTCACTCAACAAGGTGCTCGGCTGTGATGGTGTCAAGGGAAATCTCCATGCTCAGCTGTCTTCAGCCACTTCTGCCTGGAAAGGTTTTTCTTGTGTTTGTCTTGCTCAGTGCAGATTAAATGACAGTGTAGTTTGTCTCCCAGTTAAAGATCTTCCAATTCATTCTTTGTGCACTTTCTACAGAGAGGCAGCAGACAAGTGTAAGGAAAAGCTGCTCCCTTTGACATTACAAAGAAAAATGTTTTCCAACTGCCAACCTGTAAGAATCACTCCTCAGCACTAGAAACCACAAAACAGAAATTAATTACAAGACCTCTTTGTGCCTGCAGTATCATCCCTCTAACAAACCTTCTCTTTGGCAGAGGCCATGGGCTGCTGGAAGCAAGAGAAAAGGAACACCTGGATTTTCCCCACCCTGATCCTCTGCCTCTATGGATTCTTCTACATGATGAAACCATCAGAACCTTTCCTAACACCCTATCTAACAGGACCAGATAAAAACCTGACCGTGGATGAGGTATGGTTTTACTCTGATGTTTCTTTTACTTGGAGCAGCAAAACTAGAAAACTTTAAAGTATTTAAACAGAGATCAAAAGAAAAAACAAAGCACAACTGTAACCAGCTTTGGCAGGTTACAGTTTGCAGCAGACAGCATAAATAAAAGATCCATTTAATGGATCCAACATCCATTTGCCTGCCCAACAGTCCCATGTTGCTTCAGTGTGGTTATATATTTTATGAATTCCTTCAGAGCAAAAACCCCCCTCTCCAAAGCTATTAAAAATGCATGAACTTCCTGAGAATAAAAAGACAAACATTTCCTCTTCTGTTCTAGGTTACCAACCAGATTTTGCCTGTTTGGACGTACTCCTACCTGGCCCTCCTGTTCCCAGTCTTCCTGCTCACGGACTACCTGCGCTACAAGCCCGTCCTCCTCCTCCAGGGCATCAGCCTCGTCCTCACGTGGCTGCTGCTCCTCTTCGCACACGGAGTGATGGCCATGCAGCTGGTGGAATTCTTCTACGGGATGGTGACGGCCACCGAGGTGGCCTATTACGCCTACATCTACAGCGTGGTCAGTGCCCAGCGCTACCAGAGGGTGACGAGCTACTGCAGGAGCAGCACTCTGGTGGCAGCCACTGTGGCCGCCGTGCTGGGACAGCTGCTGGTGTCCTTGGCAGACGTGTCCTACTTCTACCTCAACGCCATCACCTTGGCCTCCGTCTCCCTGGCGTTCCTGTGCGCCTTTTTCCTCCCCATGCCCCAGAAGAGCATGTT